CACGCACACACACACACAGATACACAGAGAGATGCAAAGAGACACAAAAAGATATCTAGATCCACAAAGCACGGCACTAGAACTCGTAGTAATTAGATTTCGGAAAATTTTATCAACGCGAGCATTCCATGAATATTGAAGCGACCACAACCTGCTTGAATCTGCGAGCATATGGACACGAATTGATAGGATGATCTGTGCACGAAGGCAAATGCATGCGCACTCGGCCCCATTGGTTGGTCACACCCAAAGCAGTTAGGGTAGAGTTTTATTAGGGATCACTCCGTTGACAAACCAAAATGCAATTCATGATCATTTGGCATTGATTGGCCAAGCAAGCCGTGCTCTTCCAGGCACCATCGCATCTGGAAAATGCGTGTATTCTATATATTGGGGCCTATAGGGGCCTAAGCCCTTAGCCCGAAACCTAAATCCGAAGCCCTAATCCGATACAATGGAAAAGGTCGCTGTGCTCTTGTGTAGACAGAGCAGTTGCGTCTTCATAGACTTCCTGGGCAGAACACCAAGCCTTCATTTCAGACCAAGACCTCTTACATGAGAGTCTTAACATAAATATAAACTGGCTGGAAAGGGATGGAGATGCCCAGGTGCTGGTATTGTAAGTTTGATCCATGCAGTGGAGATTGGCCCAAGACGGTGCCCTTAATTAATCACCTGGATCCGGTGTAGGAGTCGCTGCTAAGCTCTGAAGAATTTTTGGATTGGTGCGCAGTCTTTCTGCGCAACTGTGCAGTGTATCCTGGTTTGAATCTTCTCCCATCTGAGCACGCACACCACAAGTTATAGCAAAACGTCAACATGTTAGCTGGACTCCGGAAACCAGACCTGTGGTACGAAAATCTTCTCTATTTCCACCATGCACGAGCGTCTCTTGACGCTGCTTGAAGGCCTCAGAGCTGTACAGAATGCCTCTCTTGAGAGGTGGTGACTCCATCTTCTTCCACTGTCTTCTTGCCCGACTCTGCAGAATCCTTGCAGAGGCATTGAATCTCGCACAAGCCTCTCAGATGTTTCAAAATCGGCAAGAACTCAGCTAGGTCACTCTACCGAACCCAGAGTCCTTCCGGCCACGCCCCTCTCGGCCCAGCACTGGAGCCTCTGAAGTGTGGGCCTCGCCCGCAGTCTCCTTGTCCTAGAGCTGTTACTTAATCATGGGTTCTTTATGTGGATAATACCTTTGCATACGGGCTGTCTACGAGGGAACAAGTGTATAAGACACCTTCACTTCCTGCGAATCCGCCGACTCATTGCCATCGTGCTCCGTGCAGACGTTGGGGTTGTTCTCAAAGATTCCGCTCACGCTCTTCCTGAATCTGTCACAAACCAGGGCACTTGCTGGTGCTCTCGTATTCCGGGGTACTTAGACGACTGGACGGGAATTACAGCTTTAGCTGTACAGCCAAGCAAGTTGCATGCTGGTAGCCAAAAAGGATGGCTACCCAAGGTAGGACGCAAAGCTCAAGTCAACGTAAGTATGCCGCTGTCTGGAATGTATGGGTTTATGCACGGGGTTGCGCAGAGTTTCCACAGAGGCTGCTGCTGTGGAGAGAAATCGTACGGTTTCAACTAGTGTGCCAAACAGAAACCCAGCTTCACGAGCACGGAAATCTCCGCCACAGTCTCGGCGAGCTCCCCAGTGCGGCTGCGCACGAAGTCTGCAGCAACATGCTCCTGGGATCTGAATAAGGGGGGGGTTTGGGGCATGATAGACTATACTTCTATTGTGAGGCTGACCAAACATGATATTCCCAAGGCTGACTGCATGAACTCTCAATCGCCTCTGTTCACTTCAATGCCAAGGTTGTAGGTCCAGTGCCCGAGTCACCCTTTGCCTTCATGGAGGGGATAGCCCTCCCGTAGCAAACGACATCAATGGCGCTGGATGCAGGAGCCATCAGCGAATTTCAATACGGACTTCATAGATGTGAAAGTACTCCGATTTCGGCTTGCCCTGCATCCTACTCCTACTCCTCAACTCCAAACCCAGATGTCGGCGCTCAGCACTTGCCATTGCGAAGGTGAACCGCTCATTTTAGTTGTATTATCGGCATTGCGACTGCAATCGGCAGATGTTTCATATATATTGAAGAAACAATGTTGGCCTGACTCTAAGCCGGGGCTCCTTAAGGAGCGGCACGGGATTCTTCTGTGCTTCGACGTCACCCTCCGGTTTGGCTGGGTACTTCAAGATCAGCACTAGCCTTGGCAAACAGCATTTACAGAACTCTCTACGAGGCACTAAGTCTGAATCATGCTGGCCACAAGGTCTAAACGTCTCAGATGGCAAATTGAACTGATTAAAGAAGAAGGACTGACGCGTCCTTGTTCCTGTCCAGAATAAGAAGACAAGATGTTAGGGAGGACCTTGCAAACAATCTGTGCTGGGGGATGCATTTCTCAAGCCATAAGCCATAATGGTGGTCTCATCAGATAATGGTTTCTCAAGAAACACCTCAACATGTAGCCGGAGAAGGAATGATGCCCCAAGAAAGTGTCTGGCATTGCGACGATGGGCCGGAAGACGATGAAACATGTCACATAGCAACTAGAGCTGATCCGCTTCGACCAACTCGAGTTGAGCTCTAAGCCATAAAAGCCCTACAAGTTAACATCTGAGATTTCCGGCTCCCTTGCAGCCCTGCAGCTGGATGAGAGACAGAAGCATCCCGAAAATGTTGGGGGCCCAGACTGGAAGCTTTTGATTTCGCATGCCCACAGCGAACCAGCAGAGGCTGTTGAGGAAGCCCAGAAATATCCTTTCTACCGGGCTTGAGCTTCGACTTCGGTGAGCTGGCTTTCGTCTTTGTCAGTAGCCAACACATAAGAACTGGCTTGAATATTACACTGGAGAGACTAAGTGTGGTGGTTTCCTAGCTGTGGCTTACGGCGGAGATTTCAAAAAGACTGTAGAAATTTGATCTTCAAAGTAAAAAGTTGTGCTGTAGGTTGTTGATAAAGGGTCTGCATGACTGGCAAAGGCGTGGAAGACTTTGTGCGAATCACCTCTTGCAGCACCGAGAGGGGGGCTGCATACATGATGATGCCCACAAGCCTGCTCCAGTCTTCGAAAAACAAAAATGGTCCTTCGAAGGCTACACACTGTCTTGGCATACGACTCGCTTGTAAGAACATCCATCGGCTTTTGGCACAAGAAGCAAGGTGGCTGCTTTACAAACATTCTCGTCCTACAGCATGGATTCGTTTCCATACGTGGAAGCTACAAGCAACCGAGACTGTCCCAAAGATAAAGCCTAGATGCATCCCCAGGCTTCCAACTCTGCCAGGAGCGCGCTCGCCACCAACTCCGGCATACAGGACGATTAAGACAGACAAGGCCAAGATGAAGATTGTGCTTGCACAAGCCTGAAAATTCCTGAGCTGTCCCCTTGAGGGTCCTGTAAATGAGCTTCATCATGGTTCATCTTGTTTGGGGTGAAGTAGGCAACGGCCTAAGTGAAAAATGGGGAATTGGGGGGACTGCTCTGAAAGAAAGCAAAGCTTCCAACGCTCAGCCTTCTCATCACGCCGTGCAAGACACCAGCAAGTGATGATGCTAAAGAAACCCACAGCCACACCATAGGCATTGCAAGGGATCACCTGGTTAACAGGCATGAAAATCCCATAGCCAAGTTGTGTCGCACAGTTCAGGAAGAAGCAGAGCAGATTCACTGGATTAACGTTCTGCACCTTTGCAGGGGTCGCGATGACGTCAATAGTCTGTGTCAAGGGGGAGGTCATGAAAAGGAAAGCGAAACAAGTCGCCACCGTCTCCAGGATAAAGTCGCCCAACATGATCAGACTCTGCAAAGGGAAGCCGGGACAGGCACGTGTGGAAATGAGATGAAGCCTTGAGCCCGAGATCATGGGATTGGTCTGGGCGAGCTAACAAATTTAGGGGCTGTGGGGGCTTAGATGCTTCTTTAGAGAGTTGCTTGCGCAGGCTGCGTGTTTGCAAGCGTCGCTGCCAGTTATGTTGTGCGGGTCCTCGTGACCTCCGTGTAGGATAAGTTTAGAGTGATTCCCGAAAACTTTTAGGTGGGAAAAAGCCAAGGAAGCCCCCCATGCTATTTGGCCCATTGTGACAACCGTCATAGGTAACGGTGGATTCTCTGCAAGGCCCACGTCTAGATCTTTTGAGTCAGGTCGTGTCTGTACTTGGGGTCCTCCGATTCACGGGGACTACAACGTGATCCCCCTCTGCTCCGGAAGCACTTACTGTTTAATCTACCCCCCCAAAAATGATAGTAGTAATGACAACAAGAATAATATCTATGATAATCATAACAATAGTAATAATAATAGTAACAAAATTACCAACATCTGGTTACTTAAGACCCTGCATGGGACAAAATCTCAGCATTGTTGTCGCCTACATGCGAGACTTCCACCTGGCCTCATGATATGACACTTTCCGAACTAACGGAGTTGCATGAGGTTATGTGAAACGCAAGACTTCTGCAAAATGTGGGGTGCCTTGCTGAGAGGGGCCTTACAGCAATTAGGTCACATTTGGAGGCATATGGGGGACTCCTGTACTACTTAAGAGCTAGCATCTACTGGCCTGAATAACAAGACTATCGCTTGGGCCATTGAATTCTACCACAACCCCAACCCCAATCCCTAAACCCCAAACCGTGACGCAGCTCGTGGCAGGGAGATCCACCTGTTAGGCATAAGGGGTTAAAGGTTAGGATTAGGGTTTAGAGGTTTTAGTGTTCAAGGTTGAGGGGTATATAAAGGGCATATTGTGGGGCCACTGAAACATGTCTAGGGCATCTTGGTACCGCACTGGCCACACAAAACATGTCTAGGGCATCCGAGTACTACATTGGCCACACAAAGCATGAGTACTGCACTGGCCACACAAAACATGTCTAGTGTCGAGGGCATCCGAGTACTGCATTGGCCAGAATCTACGGGATCAGAGTACTGCACTTGCCACACAAAACATATCTAGGGCACAAAACTTGCCCAGGGTATCCGAGTACTGCCTGGCCACACAAAAACATGTCTAGGGCATGCGAGTACTGCACTGGCCACATGTAGGGCAGCCGAGTACTGCACTAGCCACACAAAACATGTCTAGGAGTACTGCACTGGCGGCATCCGAGTACTTCACTGGCCACA